AACTGGTGTTCCAAAAATATCCTGATTGTTGAGGCAGAAAAATGCAAATGCATCAAATTTAAACCTAATAAAATTAAGAATGTTGACAACTTTTGCTATCATCTTGATGGCACCCTTATTGCGGAAGTGATTAGCATTTCTGATCTCGGTATAATTTTTAGTGATTATTTGGTGATGGTGAGATGCGATCTGGTGTGACGTAGGTTTTAGAAAAACATTTTCTTTATCGTGCGAAAGTTTCGATCCTTATTGAGATCATCCTCAGGGCCTGGGATTTATAAACTTTGGTTAAGTTTTACAAACACATGTAAGATGTGAAAAAAGTGAATTTATACAATGCTAGAAATTTTTGACTCAATCGAAGTATTTGTACTCACTCAAAGTGTGTTTTCTGTGTAGATGTGTCATTATTGGGTGACGTGGTTGAGAGTGCCAGTGAGATATTGATGTTTTATGTTTATATACGTTAGATTTGAAGGGGTGGGGAAAGAAGTTGGGTCAGAAAACATTTTTATATGAGGAGTCGGCTTCCTTGAGGTAGAAGGATAAATCCCATGCCCTGAAGATGATCTCAATAAAGATCGAAACGTTGGCACGATAAAGAAAAAGTTTTTCTAAAACGTACGTCACACCAGACCGCATCTCACGATCTTCGAATAATCATTTATTATGATCATTAAAATTTTTTAAATTAAATTAATTAGGGGAAATGTTACTCTTTGTTTATTAAGAAAAATCCATGTTCCTTTATTACAGAACAATAGTATGATACAAAAGTCAAGCCTAAATTTTATGTTTTGACCTTCATTGATCTGCGTTGATCAATCTTATCTGGCTGTTTGCACTGGTTTTGTTTGTCAAACATGTTTTGGTACCTATGTACTTCAATGTTGAGACAACCAGATTGTAAATGTTCCAGCTACAAGCATAATTTTATAGTATTGTCTATCATTACTATGTAATTTCATTTAATCTAACTTGATTAAACCTTGTTCCAAATTAAATCCCGGGTTAAATAATGTTAACAAAGCCTACTTTATTATTCATAAAATATTAAGGCAGCAATTGTTTTAAAATATATTAAAATACAGAATGGCTAAAATAGTTGCGCTTCTTAAAAATATAGCAAACAATCTCATTTGTGTTTTTAAAAAATTATTGTTTCGTGTGTGGTGATTAGTGACCATTAATCGATAATTATTCAGAAAACGTGAGATGCGGTCTGGTGTGACGTAGGTTTTAGAAAAACGTTTTCTTTATCGTGCCAACGTTTCGATCTTTATTGAGAGCATCTTTAGGGCATGGGATTTATCCTTCTACCTCCAAGAAGCCGACTCCTCATTCCAGACCGCATCTCACGATTTCTGAATAATTATTGTTTCGATTTAAATTTTCTAAGTGTACGTTCATCAGCATGAAATCCATGAGTTCTTTTATTATAAAACAATTATAATGACAAATATTGTATTGAACCAATTATTTTCTCCTTACAACTGAGTTTTTCGAATTCATTTTATTTCATTTTTTCTATTAGGAAATATTTCTTATTAACTTTATGTTTTGCTTCTTATTTTATTTTTATATCATTTCAAGGGACCTAATAGAAACACAATGAAAGACAATTAAACGAATACAATTAAATAATTTAAGATTATTTAGAGATAGTGAGCTACGATCTTGTGTGATGTAGGTTTAGAAAAACATTTTCTTTGTTGTGCCAACGTTCCGATAATTATTTAGATCATCTTCAGGGCCTCAGATTTACAAATATTGTGTATAAATTGTGTATACAGAACATGCAAAATGTGAAACTGAATTTATACAACTATGTACACAAAGTATACATTTTAGGTTTAATCATAGTATTTGTCTCAAAGTGGTTGTTTTCTTGTAGACGTGTCAGGTTTGTGTGTTGTGTTGGGAGTGTTAGTGAGATATAAATGTTTTTATGTTTATTTGGATTTTGAAGGAGTGGAGGCGGAAGTAGGGGTAGAAATTCATTTTTCTAGGAGTCGGCTTGTTTGAGATGAAAGAGGCCGACAATGGAAAAAAAGAGTAATGGTTTTTCGTTCTGGCTTAGTTTTTTTTTTTTTTTTTTTTTTTTTTTTTTTTTTTTTTTTTTTTCAGGATATTATAGGCGGGTCTATTTCATTTTTCTTAGCAATTTACATTTTTTCCTTTTTTTTAGAGACAAATTCAATTATTAAACGTGAAACTTTGATTAATATATAAAAATATATACAAATCAAGTGATATTACAAGTGGGGAGAATTTTTTCCCTGTCAGTGTATAAACAAAAAAACCATTTATATCTCATTAATACTACCAACACAACACACAACCGTAACTCGTCTACAAGAAAACAAACACTTTGAGTGAGTACAAACATTTTGATTAAACCTAAAATTTCTACTTTTTGTACATCCTTGTATAAATTCATTTTCACATCTTACATGTATTTGTATAAACAATGTGTACACAATATTTGTAATCTTAGGCTCTGAAGGTGATCTAAATAAAGATCGAAACGTTGGCACAATAAAGAAAATGTTTTTCTAAACCTAAATCACACAGGATCGTATCCCACGATCTCTAAATAATCATAAATTAAGTTTTAATTGTATTCGTTTAACTGTCTTTCGTTGTGTTTCATATTAGGTCCCTTGAAATTATATAAAAACAAAATAATAAGCAAAACGAAAAGTTAATGAGCAATACTTCCTAATAGAAAAAATGAAATAAAATGAGTTCGAACAACTCAGTTTTAAGGAGAAAATGACTAAAGAAATGGACTGATCCCACTCACAGCAGCGAATTCCTTTGTAGAGTCTTTACGTATTTTGTACTACATTCAATAAAATATTTGTCATTATAATTGTTTTATAATAAAGATGTACTTGCATAATGTAAACAACGTTTGTAAATCCCAGGCCCTAAAGATGATCTCAATAAAGATCGAAACGTTGGCACGATAAAGAAAATGTTTTCTAAACCTACATCACACGACAACGCTTCTCACGATCTGCTAATAATCATTAATTGACGGTCATTAAATACCATACATTAAATCATTTATTTTGAACAATCGAGGTAATTCAGAATAGATAAAAATAGTTTTTGAATAGTAAAAAAATTTAATATTATCTTAATTAATCAAAGTCCAACTTAATAATTCTTTCCAGAAACCTTTAATTGCTATAAACAATGATGTTATGTTTCCGTTTCCTCCATATCATTTGGCTTTGATGTTCACATAAATATGTCTTCCACCTTTTTGTAATATTTTTTTTTATGAATTATAATAAAGGACATTCCATTATAATGATAGCCTTTGTCACTTTATCAGAAAAAAATTATTTTATAAAATCTTTTACAAAGTAATTAAATAGCGGGAACATGTTTGAAAAAGACATGTAAATGAGAATCATATGCTTCATTACATGAAAATGTTGCTTTAATTTTCTAACGCTATGCCTACTTCACACAAAAATTCCTTAACAACTAATGATCTTTTTTCTTGTAATTATTCAACTGCAATTCTGCACACAAATATAAAAAAAAATTATCTACTTCTCCCACAATATATGTTTTTCTTATAAATTATTGGTTATGTTATAGCATCTTGGTAAAACCAATTTTGCACAAATACAAATCTACTTTAAATACTGTCGATAGAATAAAATTTACATTTTTAGCTTCCAACACTTATCAATAGTAAAAGTTGAATGATATTGTAAAAAAATTATCCTTTATAGTTAACATATTTTTATATAACAGCCTACTACCATGGTATATACATAAGCAAGTATTGCCTTGTAGATTTGCAGATTTGGGTTCAAAATAGAATCAATCACTTTGAAAGGAATAAAAGAATAAGTTCATAAATGCCTCAGTGTTGTTGATGATAATATCGCCTCTTCACTTGAACAAAATAGCCTTGCTTGGGTGATTTTGTTGATTTAGAATTGGCCTTCGATTGAGTCTGGCACTCGGACTTTCTTCGGAAACTAACATACTCCTTCATGCGCGCTACATGATTCTGAGATCATATCTGCCAGACCAGTTTTACCGTCAGGAAAATGAATTTTCACCTTATGTACGCATTAGGGCAAGTGTTCTCAGGGAAGAATAATTAGCCCATTTTTATTTTCAATGTACACTGCCAATATTCCTGCACAAGAGTATGGTTTATGCAATGAAGAATGAAAATAAAACTAAGGAAAGCATACAGATAAACTTTACCCTGCATAAAAGTAGCTGTCCCCTAGTGAGCATAAATTGAACCCCATTGCCTTCCACTGACCTTGTGCATTATCTTGGACTTTTTTTGTATAAACGTCTGACTTGAAATCCACACACCACAATTGAAAAGATTACTGTCTTTTCTTTGTCAAAACTTGTCAAACAACCTAATGTTACAAATTACTAAAATATTACTTGTCTCACGATCAAAATTAAACATTGAAAACAATCTTTAATTTACAAAACAATGATAAGACTTCTTAGGGTTTATGGTTGTGAAGGGTGTGGAGCTCAACCAAGAATTCCAATTTTCTGTCAAATTACACATGCTCCTTTGTATGCTTCAAATCATACTATGTATAAAGACTTTCAAATCTCATTTGCACATAACCTCCTCAAAACCTGCTATAAAAAAAATTTCATCTATCATTGAGTAACCACAATAATCTACTATTATGACATTTATCACTACCAACCCTACCAGAAATGAAAAAATGATGTTTGAAAAAGAAAAAAAAAGAAAAGATGATTGAAGCAAAAGTTTACCCGAGACCTTCTCAGTGAATGACGAACAATGAAGTGTCAGCATGAAGGAGTGTTGCCACAGGGCAACTTCAACTACATGTGACTTAAACGATAGATTCAGCATACACAAAAATTATTTACTCAATATTTGTAGTTGTAAATAACAAATCAATGTAATTTTAAAAATTATATATTATTTTAAAATGTTTTTTAATTGAAATTTTCTTATGCAGCAAACAGCCCAACACCGGCAAACATTGGTCCTACGATACCGGCACCTCCACTGCCACATCTTCTCAATGGGCACAGCCAGCATCAACAGCACCTACTCAATGCTTTTCAGCAACAGCAGCAGCAGCAACAACAGCAACAGACACAGCCACAGCCTCTTCTGTCCCAACCACAACAGCAGCCACAGGCACAACCTCCACCCCAGCAGCAGAACCAACATCAACAGCCGCAACCGCCTCTGCCACAACCCTCGCAGAAATCACCTATAAGTCACTCACCATTCAATGTGAGTATCCAACTTCTTTAAATAAATAAATTTCGTTCATTAGAAGTTCTGTTCTCATTTTTGTCTTGCTTTCAGAGTGGGATGCAAAATTGTGCCAAATCGCCACCAATTAATGGAGGGAATGGAACAGGTATGAGCAATGGGGGCTGCTCAACAGCATCCAATCCTTCAACATCTCCTTTGAATACGATAAGTCGTCTAGCTGCTTCTAACAATGATCTCACAATAACAACAAGCTCTGCCATAAAATACCAACACAGCCCTCTTCCATTGGACCTGATGGATGAATCAAGTAAGAAAAAAATAATTCAATAGGAAATTTTCATTTTTAGCATAAATCTAACCACTTTTCTTCTTCTAGACCAACCCATGATATCAGAAAGCAGAGGTAACACTGTAGATGGTATTAACTTAGACGAGATTAAAGAGTTTGCAAAAGCTTTTAAACTGAGGAGGTTGTCGCTCGGACTGACACAAACGCAAGTCGGTCAAGCTCTAAGTATCACCGAAGGTCCTGCCTACTCTCAATCTGCCATTTGCAGGTAATGTTTCTAGCCACTTTTTCAACTCAGAAGCTTATTCCTACATAATACAAAAAAGATAATTAGTCAATCAACGTTTTTAACATACCTTTTGAATTTCTCAGCGCCCTGGCAACTCAGATGTATTGTGCTGCCCAACTTGCCTCACAACAACAGTCAATGTATGTTATTTCACACTTTTGTTTTATTTATACTGTAATCTCTCTTTTTTAAATTTATCCTCTTATTCTTACTGCCTGATTTTAAACTCTAAACAAAATTTCCTTTACCTATTATTTAACAGGGCAGCATTTGTTCATTTGTTAACAACATATCACTAACTTAAAGTCTTATGTCTACTTAAATATCACAATTTGGTTTATTTTCATTCTCAGTTCAAAATTGAAATGAACAAATGTTGTCTTTTGCGTTTTGTTAAAATCATTGACAAAGAATTTGAAATTGGGGCAGTTCTTATTTATTTATTTTATAGTTTTTCTGAATTTCTCAATTAACTTGAGCGTTGATGTTAACTAACACTTACTTAAATACTTGCACTCACAAATAATCCCCAATGGTTGACCCTAATGCCACCAAGGGCTCTGGCGCTTTCATCATAAAAAATGTTTGAAAACAATTATTTTTCTAAATCTCTGAGAGTGCCAGGGTGCTGTGGCTATATTTTGTCAATTGTCTTGGGTCTGCTTTTCTTCGTTTCTCCGTTTTAAAAATACTAACGTTTTGCCTTGATCTAGGTTCGAGAAACTTGACATAACTCCAAAGAGTGCCCAGAAAATCAAGCCGGTCCTCGAACAGTGGATGAAAGAAGCCGAGGAGAGGTAATTCAATGCCCATACGCCTTTATCCTGGTTGCCTTGAATGAGCTGTTTTAATGTGGTATTTTTGCCATTTTGAGCAGGTATAAAAGTGGGCAAAACCATCTGACAGAGTTCATCGGGGTGGAGCCATCAAAAAAGAGGAAAAGGAGAACGTCGTTCACACCCCAAGCACTAGAGCTGCTCAACGCACACTTCGAGAGAAACACACATCCATCAGGTACTTTAATCTCATCAATACGGTTGAGAAATTAATTAAATTTTTTGATTCTTAAACATATTTCTTGCTATATTTTTATATTCACATCAGATTTATTAACAAAAATAAATTTAAAACACTATCTTTGTATTTGATTTTTTACTATTAATTTGTTATTTGCTTTTGAGGTTATTAATGATTGTATATTTCATTCTGTTGTTTTTAAAGGTAAAAGCTCATCATTATAGCTTTTCTTTTTTCTTTCTTTTTTGTTTTCCATTCATCATTTAATTATTGTGGATTCTAGGTACTGAGATAACTACCCTTGCTCACCAACTGGGTTATGAGAGGGAGGTTATAAGGATTTGGTTCTGCAACAAGAGACAAGCGTTAAAGAACACTGTTCGTATGATGTCGAAAGGGTGTACCTAGCTAGTGCCCCAGCAGGGGATGTGGCATCCATGAGAATACGCCAGGGATTCGTCTTCTGCATCAAGCGAACTACGCATGCAAGAACCGTCCCCGAGTTATGGTGTGAAGAACGATTCGAAAATTTCTCCGACTTTATATTCGGACTCGCAGTTCTAAGTGTATAAAATGGAATATAAGAGACATTGTTTATTACAACTTGAATCGGGCTAATCTGGTCACATGTATATACATAATTTTAAACAGAAAGCACTAAGTGCAATATTTCACTTGTTATCATTTGTTTTGTCTCATCAGAATCAACATATAAATAAAAGAAAAATCATTAGATCTCATTGAGCATTATTGTTTATTGCTAATTATTGATTTAGTGACAGTGTAGTATTTAAATACATAATATAATGTATCCGATTTGACAAAACATACTTGTAAATAATGTTACATCTATGTGTGTGGACACCTTCTAAGTATTTTATCATCAAGAAAGACTATGTTATTGTGTTCTACTACACATTCAAAACTACCTATTAACTACGAAATAAACATAAATTTTAAAAAGCAAATCTTACTTGTCTACAATATTTTTTTTTTTTAAATAGGACGAAGGACTTGTACATAACCACTATACATAACAGACACTCGTGTATAAATTATTGTTTAAAACATTGTACATATTAAGGGACCTAAGAAAAGTATAATTTATATATATAGGCCTAGACTTTTGTGTAAATTTTTATTATAAACAAATGAGCAGTTTATTTATTTTGTATGTTGTCACTCAAATTAAATAATTTACATAATTGTACAAAAAAAAAAAAATAATAATACTAACGAAAGATTAAAGATTGAGAGCTATCCACATTAAGACCACATAAAAAGTGTGATAATTGTAAGTTTGTCTGGAAAGTAAATTGTTTCCTAAATGAAAATTACCTTCTTTAAGCTGTAAAATTAGAAGCTGAAGGGAACGTGAGTTTTTGTAAATGTATCAGAAATTTTATTAAAATGAATTAAAAAAAGAGGGAGGCAAAATTCTAAATTATTGTGATATGTGTATAAATTTATAAAATTTTGGCCAAATTCTTTCGATCTTGTGATATTTTAAATTATTTACCACAACAACAACCACAATAACAGCAAAATTGAGCAAGAAATTGACACAAAAACAAAACATAAGCTAACTCAGACCCCCTTGGAAGTAGTTATCTTGTCTTAATATTTGGCACGTAGATTAAATACATGGTTAAGTTTTCAATCATTTCACTAAACAAAGCCAACTTAGATGCATCTTTAATGTACATAAAATGTAAAAAAATATATATATAAGATTAATAATGAAATAATATTGCAGACTAATCATGGAATGAGTTATTTGCAACTATAACAAAAAAGAGACAGAAACTAAAGTTCCTACTAGATTGTTAAGATTAGCGCTCTAAGGACACTTTATTATATAAATTAAAAGAAAACAGAAATATCTTGTCTATTAGCTATATCAACAAATCAGAACAATGCATGTCCCCAACCAGTCATTAAAAAAATATACATAAATTTATTAAGTTGTCTGTATCTGTTTTTGATGTTGTAAACTAATAGTAGGCCAATGTATGTATACACTCATTTACGTGTTTAATAAACAAAATATATGTAGATTATTTATAAAGCAAGAGAAATCATTATATATATTCCTCACCTCCTTGACTAACAATATTAGCTGTAAAAAAGTACATATGTAGTATATATACACACTGATAGGCACAAAATTCCCTCCAATTGATTTTTTTTTTCATTTTCTCGATAAAAAAAATTCTGCCCTTAATTTGTTTCATTCAATAAATATTTGTTTAAGCGTTTTAAATTGGGAATATCACTTAGATGTCTAAATACATTTAATCCTTAATCCAAAACAAGGATAAAGGATTTTTCAATTTTTACTTTTTGCCAAATTTAAATTTTTTATTCAGTCTCATTTGAATTCTGGAGCAATAAACTATTTAATTTTCATCTTTGTTTTCTGAATTTTAAGTTTTAAAAGAGGATGTTGCGGTGTGGCACTTATTGATGATGGGCATTTCATCAGGTATGCGGCTATTGCTGTCGGAGTTCCATATGAAACACTGCAAGATGCCGTAAGATGTTTTCGAGCAATTTGATCCTACCATAGAAGTCCCGATTCTGGACGCCCTAGGATAACAGAACCTCAAGATGACCGTTATTTTGGCTTTGACAATTTTTCAAAACCGCCACCTTACAATTGATCAGCTCCAGAAAGTTCGAGGAGTCCAAATTTCTGAACACACTGCTCGAAGAAGATTAAATCAGTATTAAGAGCACTTTTTTCCCACTTCGTGACCAGAACACACAAAGTTGCACAGCTCGCATTTATTTGATAGAGAACACAAGTGGTCTTTGGATGATTGGTCTGTATTACTTTTTACAGACGAGGGTAGATTTGCTCTGCGGTCTTCAGATGGGTGTGAAAGAGTGTGGAGAAGGCGAAACGAAAGGTAGAAAGCTTGTAATTCTTCCCAGAGCCAACCTTTAAACATAACACAGTGATGGTGTGGGCAGGAATTTCTATGGAGAATCGCGAAGAATTGGTTGTTGTTAATGGAGGGACTTTGACGGCCACTATGTGGATGAAATTTTAGACCATCATGTGTTGCCTATCCTCGATGAAAACAGTGACAATCTTATTCTAATGCACGACAATGCCCGTAAACATGTCACTCACGTAGTACAAATGTACCGTCACAACAGGGTCTTAACCTGGCCTCCTCCAGATTAACCCCATCAAACATGTATGACATAACCTCAAAAGACGAATAAGAGCACATCCATCACTTCCTGATACTCCCCATGATCTTGAAAGGACTTGTTGTGAAGAATGGGCTAACCTCCATCAAAAAGACATCTAGACTGATAGAAAGTATGGCGAGGCGTCTTCAAGAAGAAATTAAGGCAAGAGGAGGAAATATGTGATATTGCAATGGCTATACAGTATATGTTATTCAACTTCTCTGCTTGCGCTTACACATATTCCGCCACTCTTACTTAAACCGTTAAAACTCAACCGTCCTTTTATCCTCACTAGCGCTCTCTTCGGCCAGACCTGGAGGGCAAATTGGTCTGAGATGCTCTCTTCTCACAATTTGGCTATTCTGGGAATCCTTTAATGGGTCATCATCGCTTGAAGCTTCTTGGTAGGGGGTTCCTTGTCGGATGCCGAATCTTCGTCTGATGGATCTATGTCACTTGCATATCATCACTCCTCCTTGAGAGAGATCCATTCTTTCATGTTATCGGGGCTGGTGGACGTTATGTTTGGGCCATGAGTGTCTCCAATTTTTCTTACCTCATACCTATCTTGTGGTCCCAGAAATTTTGCTTTTATTTTTGCATGTGGTTCATGCTACGTCTTTTTTATGGCGACTATATCTCCAACAGTATATTTTGACGGAGATTTGTTTCTTTTTGTGAAGTTCGCCTTTGTTGTTATTGGATTTTGAGTATTTTTCGTTTTGCTTCCTCTCTCGCTTCTAGTCGTTTTTTGAATGTTTCTTGTATAATTGTTTTAAGGCGTAGTTCGTCAGGACTTCTCATCTATACTCCAAACATTAGGGAAAATGGTGTCGTTTTAATGGCTCGGTGGTATGATCCGTTTATTGCTCTTTGTACTTTCTCAATATGTTTGAACCAAAGTTCTGGTCTTTCAATTGAACACTTAGTCAAGATGGATATTATGCTTTGAATCAATAGCTCGACTTGACCGTTCTGTAGTTATTTTGTGTAGTCTAGATTTCATTCCCTGGACAAAACTCTTCAAACTGTTTGGAGGTGATCGCTGATGATTCTTTCCGGAGTAAAGAACAAACACAATAAAAATGGTATTCACGTTTTGTATTACTTCGTCAGCGTTCGTAGACTTGGTAGAAAATAGCCACGAAAAGTTAGAGAATTCATCTATTACTGCGAAAACATATTTGTAACCTTTATTCGTAGACGTTAAAGGAACTAAATGGTCTATATAAAAAGTAGACAATGGTTTGTCACCTTTGTTAATTGGGTACAGTGTGGCCTCCTTTTTTCCTCATTTTCTTTCTGGCAGCATACATTTCACGCATTTTTTTATTATCTGTGCAATCTTTGGGTTCATGTGTGGAAACGCATATTCCCTTTTGAGTTTTTCTTCTGTCTTTTTCTCTTCAGTGTGTCTGTCGTTGTGCGCTGCAGTTATTACCTCAGTCTGCATTCCTTTTGGTATGACCAATCGTATCCATTTTGGTCTCGTCAGTATAAAATGTCATTTTTAATATGGTAGTTTTTATAATCTTGTTTTTCAAGTAATTCCATGATCATCTTGGTTTCTCTGTCTTCAAGTTGTACTTTCTTTATCACTTTTTATGCGAAGAACTACCGAATACCTGCTTAAGGGGAGACGAGAAATTAACAAACCTATAAATAGAGATAGAAGATGGACCAGATCTGGCGGTATATGATACCAAGGAGGCTATACCGTCTGGTGATAGGCACCCCATCTATCACCGCTCTGCGTAACCTGGATGGAGTCGTTCGTCGTTGGGTGAAGGAGACATTCCATCTTCTGCAATCCACGCCGGACGGTCTCTTCTTTGCTAGCAATAAAGACGAAGGGCTGGGGATTCCACGGCTGGCGAAGGCAGTCCCTGTGGCGCACCTTCGGGCGGGTCTCGCACTTGTTCATAGCCCCGACTGGTGGGTCAGGAGGCTCTACGAAACCAACGACGTGGCTAAATAAGGCTGCGGCCCGCCTGGGCTTTGGGCCCATCACTTACGGGGACTGGCGGCGCTGAACTGAAGACTGTACCTACCGGGGGAGATGGAGAAATGGGCGGCTTTGGGGGCAAGACACGGAGTGAAGACGTTTGCTGGCGAAGCGGTAGACAATCGGTGGCTCTCGGACGAATCTTTAATCCGTCAGGAGTCCCGATTTATTAAACTCTCGGCATGAGGACAAATTCGATGGACACTAGAGAAGGGTTGAGGTGGTTCTCCAATATACAGTCCTAACGTAGGAAGTGAGGGGCCGGTAACAAGACACCCTCCCACGTCCTTTCGACATGCCCAGAGCATCACGAAAAAAATCGTGAGTAGGCTCGATGAGTGTCTCCAAGTCTTTGTCGCTGGTCTCCGTGACTCGGGATACCAGGTCGCCGTAGAATCACCACTCGGAACACCGGATGGTCGTTGCCACGGACGAGCAGGATAATTATCCTGGGCCTCGCAATGGCGTATGAGACCACAAGGGCGATAGACGCTGTGGCGGACCTGAAAGCAGAGAAGTCGGCCCTAACGGAACTGCACTACAAACACTATTTCGAAGCAACTGGTGTAGTAGTGGGGGCAAGAGGATGCACCCTGAGTGAACCAAAAATACACTCAGGGACTTCGGCGTCAAAGAACTGCCGAAGTTATTCCTCGACTTTTCCGTGACGGCCTTGAGGTCATCACTGTCCATTACCTTCGCTCATGTGGATAGGAAGCGAAGGATGCCACCCACCCATCCAACGACTCCGGCTGTCAAGCGTGGCTGCCTGACGGATGACCCCCCCACCGAATTTTAGTAGGCCCACTGGTAACAATCGATTTTCCCTCACTTCTTCACACACCGACACTCTGTCTCTTTCAGTCACACTTTCTCTCACTTCCTCTTTCTCTCTCCCTCATTCCTGGTCACT